TATATATATATATATATATATATATATATATATATATATATGTATATATATATATATATATATATATATATATATATATATATATATATATATATATATATATATATATATATATATATATATATATATATATATATATATATATATATATATATATATTGTAATATAATTATATATTGGATTGTTACATTATAATTTTAAAGTTGTTGCTAGAAATTGTTTTATGCTTTAATTTTTAGATGATGATTTCATTGCACCTTGTTTGGTCGCAAAATACTTATATTGGCAAGTTAATTCTTTTTTCAATAAGATTTTATATTAAGTATAAAATATTACTCTAAATGAAAATAAAACGGAGAAGAATAATAATTGTTACAATTTTTATTACTGACTGTTGCTCTTAATTAAATAAATGTTAAGACTTTTATATAAAGTAGTATTTTTTTGCTTAATTGATTTTACGTTTTAAAAATTATGGTTTTGTACTATTTTATTATTTTTTATTTCCAGTCTTTAACAAAGTATATTTGTTCGAAACAAAATTTAAATACAGTTATGAAGACAATTGCAGTTTATATAATTTGATTGACAACGGTCCAACGTATGATTTTCCATTATTTTTAAAAGTTGTCAAAGGTAAGAAGTCAAAAATTTGATACTTTTATTTTATAAAAAGTGTTTCCATTAGAATACCAAATTATTAATTTTGTATGTTTTTAAACAACTAGGATTAAATGGGGACATTAACACAGTATCATTTCAATCTCCAATATATGGCACATATTTGCGTCAAAAAAATTTTACTATATATATAGAGTACAAATCACCAGGAACTTTTACCGATGATGCATCATTTATTTTGCAAAAAAACAAGTATTATAATGACTACACAGTAGTTCAACTCTATAACTTTACAAGTAATTTCATCATAAGTTGCGGAAGTCGTTTATATATTGTTAATGAATCTATGACGGAAGAGTATAAAAGCCGTGCTAGCTTTAAAATATCAGGTAAAAACATTTACTTGGAAGATTTTATTTAAGCTTATTTATAATCTCAAATTCGTTATCATCATCTCAAATTTCATTAAAATCATGATCATGAACATTAATTTGATTATCATCATCATTACATTGTCTATAAAAAATATGATCTCACATAAAAAGAAATTCAAAAAATAAAAAATATCTCAAGTAAATACTTTAGAAATTTAAGGTTTTTGTTAACTGAAGTTTTAAGAATTCTCATTGGTTAAAATCCAAAATTTATGTTAGACTTTTTTATTAAAAAATTCCTGCCGCCTTCGCAGGAATTTTTTAATAAAAATGTATATATATATATATATATATATATATATATATATATATATATATATATATATATATATATATATATATATATATATATATATAAATATATTTATATTTATATATATATATATATATATATATATATATATATATATATATATATATATATATATATATATATATATATCTATATATATATAATATATATATATATATATATCTATATATCTATATATATATATATATATATATATATATATATATATATATATATATATATATAATATATATATATATATATATATATATATCTATATATATATATCTATATATATATATATATATATATATATATATATATATATATATATATATATATATATATATATATATTTATATATATATATATATATATATATATATATTTATATATATATATATATAATATATATATATATGTATATATATAACTGCCTGCCCAAACCAAACTCTAAGTCAATGTAGCAGTACTCCCTTTCGAGTTTGGCTATTTTTCCGTCGTTGTAGCAGTAAACCTGTTGATGTAGCAGTACTGAGAACGAAAAGTTAAATTTTAAAAAAATTGTCTAACATCACATATCATTCTCTTGAACGTTTCCGGCCTTTGCTAACTAAGCTTAGAAAAAAAGGATATTCTGGATAATCTTTTATTTTAAAGGCTCTGGCTAAAGACTGAAATGTAATTAGAGTAGGCAATGTAGATCTGATTTTGCTGCAGTTTTTTTTTTATCTTGATTTAATGTATTGGACATAATCCTGTTTACAGGATTGTTGAAATAGATGACGGTGAAAATGTTAAGTTAAGAATTTCTCATTCTTGGTAGTAATTTATATTTACAACAGCAATCTTTGAAGACCTATATTATATATACATATATATGTTATATATATATATATATATATATATATATATATATATATATATATATATATATATATATATATATATATATATATATATATATATATATTTATATATATATATATATATATATATATATATATATATATATATATATATATATATATATATATATATATATATTTATATATATATATATATATATATATATATATATATATATATATATATATATATACATATACATATATATATATATATATATATTATATATATATATATATATATATATATATATATATATATATAAATATATATATATATATATATATATATATATATATATATATATATATATATATATATATATATATATATATATATATATATATATATAATATATATATATATATATATATATATAAATATAATATATATATATATATATATATACATTTTTGTCTTTTTGATTATCGAGCATTCTTTTTAGAGCAAACACTAACAAAGTTTGCACACGTATTTAAATTTTTTATTTAGTGACTTACATTGCATTTAGTTTAGAGCAATTTTCAAAGCATATAGTTTTAGAAGTCAAAGGCCATGAAACCTAACAAAATAAAGGTGTATAATAAACATTTAAAACAAATAAAAAATAAGATGTTTTAAGGAAAAATTATAAAAATATTTTAACAAAAAAAAAACAGTACATATAAGAGATAAATAATACTAACGATCAGCCATAATCAATTATTAAAGTTTTAATAGCATCTCTGAAAGTTTCTCTCAAGAAGCTAAAAATATGCTGATAATCCTGCTAATATCTGAAAAAATTGCCATTAAGACGAGGCCATTCAATCACTTTTCTAACACCCAACTTCTTTGAATAAGCTTTTAATTTTTTGATATTGTACCAGAAATCGAACTATTAAAAAAGTTCAAAAATGTTGGGGAAATAAGTCGTTGCCATGAATTGATTTTGAAATATGGGGTTGTCTTGGTTTTATAACTTTATAAATAAACATGCTTTCTATTTGAAATCATATCTAATTAATGAGATCATTAATGAAATTGCCCAGTAGAGGTAAAGTAATAAAAACGCTTCAAAAATTCAAATAAAGAGTACTTATTATGATTGGTTTGCTTTCCACATTTTTTAGTGGTATAAATCAAAATCAATTTCCTAAAGTATGTTTTTTTAATTGTCATTTTAAAGACTCTGAAATTTGCAATACATCATATTGCTTACTTTGGAGTCTAATTGTAGTTTAAAATATTTAACCCATCAAGTTTTTTTAAAAAATAATTTACATTGAAAGAAAACTCAGACATAAACTTTGTATCTTTTTCTAAAAAGTATAGTCTCTTTCTATAAGTTTAGCACTATCAGACGCTTTAAGAAAATTAAAGAACACTTGCTTTTTATTGGTTTCAGAAATAATCTCTTCAAAAACCTCACCAAAAAACTATATAAGATAATTTTGTGTGGTTTCAGAAATGTATTTGACTATATAATGGAATGGTATCAAAAGATTTTATATAATAGTGTCACCTGCATAAAATCTAAAACTAAGTAGTTTAAAAAAGTTTTCCACAATTATTTTTGAGGACATTCCTAATTATGGGTGAGTCCTAAATATTGTATTATAGTTGATTTTACTGACATCTGTTGTCAGTAAAATCAAATTTCTAAGAACCTCTTTAGTTAAAGCTTTAATTTGAAGATTAAAATTATTTACATAAGTGTGGCAAAAATAATAGTTTTTATAATAGTATTATAGTAGTGTTATTAACAATTTTATAGTAATAATAATAATAACAATAATAATAATAATAATAATAATAATAATAATAATAATAATAATAATAATAATAATAATAATAACAATAATAATAATAATAATAGTTGTATATTTATAGTTTTAATCAGATAATAGCAGGGGCGGATCCAGTACTTTTTGGTGCTTAAATTAAATAACTTTCAGGTAAGTTCTAAACTCCAAACTTTTTTATTTAAGTTTTGATCGAAAAATCATCAAGCTTTCAAAAGTTATGGTCATTTAAAGTTTAGAGCCCCCTCAAAACGAGAGGGTTTTAAATTTAAACTGGGTATTATACCCAGTTCTAAACAATATAATATTTTTCAAAAAATTTTTAGAACCTTAACGATCTTACCACCTAATTTAGGATATTAGAGTTTATATTCAGAAAAACCGATTTCCCCACATTTGGGCGGGTGATGCCCTTTTTTTAGGGGTTTTTTGTTCCCAGGCTCTAATCAGCACAATTTTTGGCAAATCATCCTTAAACGACTAAAGTATGATATATGATAACGATAAGTTATATATATGATAACGATAAGCATGATAAAGTATATAATACAAAATTTAGAGTTTAGAACTTTCCTGAAAGTTATATAACTCAAATACCAAAAAATCTTAGATCCGCCCCTGGGTAGCGATTCCATATGGCAAACATTTAACTTTCAACAGAAAACAAGAAAATTTATGAACTTTACTGTCTTAAATTTTTTTCGTGATTAAATTAGAACCTTGATGTTTTTGGCATCAATTAATTTGACTCTTTCAAAACATATACAGAATGTATAATTTTTATATGTCTTTGCCTATATATTACTTGTATCTGGAACGTTTTTTTCTAACTTGTGAGAAATTTGCCATGTAAAACGAAAACGGGAAGAGCTGCTTAAGAAAATGCGGACTCTTTTCAACATTTATACAAATTTTTTTAGTTCACAGTGTTTAAGGTGGCTTCACAGGAAATAAAAGGTGTAAAATCAAAAAAAAAAAAAAATTAAAAATATGTATCTTAAGAATTTTAACATTGCTGAAAATGATGGTATAACTATTTTTTAATAATTTCAGTTTTATAAGCTACTATTTTGCATTTTTTTAGGCATAGTATGAATTAGCTTTCTTAGCAACGCCCATAGCAACAAAAAAAGCAGTATGAAAACTTTTCTTTAACCACTGGTTTAATATGTCTTCGTGTTCTGCAATAAGAAAAGATTTAGTTTATAGGCTAACTAAGTTCAGTTTTAAAAATAAAACCGTTTTACTAATTGAAATTGCATCAATTGATTACTTACTTCTTGTGACAAAACCGTTATAATAACAGATGTTGTATTGATAAAATGTTTCCTGAACTATTTTTTTAGGTTAGTAAGTCAAATATACAATGGGTAGTTATAATAATACTTGAACTCAACTCAAGATAACAAAATAACATAACTCAATTAGTTCGCAATAATATAACTGTAATAAAACAAAGTAAAATTAAAAAACAAAACTCTATAATAACATAACTCATAACTCAAGGTAACAATACTTGAAAAAAAGTAAAAATGTAGATGAAGATGAAAACTACTCTCCTAAATTAAATTTGATTTAATGGATTTATGAATTTATCAAGAAAAACTTTGATGAATTAAGCAACAACAATTTATCAAAAAAATGTCATGGGCTAAATCATTTTGTAAAGGAGGACTAAATTATATTATCTGATTCCGAAGCCCTTAAAATATTTATGTAAAAGCAGATGTTCTTGAATTGAGAGTAAACTCTGCAGTTCTTTTTTTCAATGAAAGTTCATTTGGTATTTATTTTGTGTTTAAACATTTAAATCTAGACTTTGGAAAAAACAATATAACCAGTTCAATAAAAAAAGACCGAAAGCAGTTAGAGAATATGGTGATAACCATAAAAGAACAACCATAAAAAAAAAAAAAAAAGAAAAGAGTTAAGAGGAATTAGGAATAGTTGGATTGATAAAGATCAAGAAC